TTGAATGTTTTAGTGTTCTTCTTTAACTTTAGTGCATGAAACAAATAAGGAGGCAGGACTTTGTATCTTTTATATAAATGTTAGGAGAAGGGAATTGTGGTAATAAATTTATTCACAGTAGACTATATGAGATGGTCATTATTTTGAGTATGTGGTACACATTTAGGCTATGCCTAGATTACATTCCTCTTTCAAAAGAGGGATGTAAATTAGACATATCGAAATTGCAAATGAAGCTGGGATTTGAATTTCCTGTGCTTCATTTGCATAATTGCATCAAAGCGCTTTTTTTTAAACACTATTTCGAAAGTGAAACCGTGGTCTAGACTCAGTTCTTTCTAAAAGAAAAGTCTTTTTCGAAAGATCCTGTACTCCTCAAAAAATGTGGCTTACATTCAAATCCCAGCTTCATTTGCTATTTCGTTAAGTCTAATTTACATCCCTCTTTCGAAACAGGGATGTAAGTCTAGCCCCTCTGTTGAAGATTTAAAGTAATTTTTTTCATACATTGCATCAAATTATGGTCACATTTTTCCAGACTTGAGAGTAAACAAACTTACAACGCATTGCATGCATTAACTCCAGAAGTTGCTGCTCAGCGAGAATATGGAGTTTTTTTTCAGCCACAGATCCTTGAGAAAGGTCTCTCAGCAATCCTGCATCTGAATATGAAGTTATTAAAAACAGTAGTCAAGTTCATTTTTACATTTAAAACTCGTGTCCATATTTTATAATACATTTGTTTTCAGGTTAATCCATTCCGTTTTCACTGAAAATTCTCTATTAATAGGCTTGATTACTATTAATGTAGTGAAAACAGATCACAGGACCTGCAAAGTGCAAGGGTGCCTACATGATTACTTTTTCCCTCCTAGATATTCAATTTATTTGTAAAATGTTACTACCTATATTATTTCTTGGTATTTAAAGAACAGATGGTTACTCATCTTGTGTGGTAACTGAGGTTCTTCAAGATGGTTGTCCCTGTGGGTACTTCACATAGGCATTTGAATGCCACTGCACTTCCTATTGGAGAATTAAGATAGCGGTGCCCACGGCAGGCTGCGCACACCAGGCAACTAGCATGTGCCATTAAGAGCAGCTAGACTGCATGCACAGCCAACCAACCTGTTCCCCAGGGGTCCTCGTACTTGTAGGGAACTAAGGGTGAATCCCATGTTTTTGAGAGCTAGGAGATAGATACTCAAGTATATATGGAAGGGCAGCTGAGACGGGAGAGATGTGATGATGATCACATCATATTGAAAACTGGTGCCATTTGTGCAAATGTTTTTCTTGTAGATTGGGGTGGGCAAGATACAGCCTGGGGCCAGATCCTGCCTGCCAAGCCTTTCAATCCAGCCCACAACCTATCCCACTGAACCCACAGGCAGGGTGCAGACCCAAGGCTCAGAGCAACTGGCTGGTCTGTCTGCCTTCTGAGGTTGGGTGAGAGATGGAAGCTTTGCATGTTACAAACCCCTTCCTTCATCCAAACTCTCTCTCAGACCTCATACCTTTTCCTATACCCCAATCTCCTATCCCAAGCTCTCTTCTGCACCCAACCTCTTTCCCAAACCCCACAACCGCTCCATAGAAAAGGAGGGCCCTTGACCACTTACCAAAATCTTGGAGTGGCCAACATGAAAAATTATTGCCCACCCCTGTGGTAGATGGTCTGCAGGAACAGAGACTAATCTCTTGGATAGGTGCAGAGCAAGATGTTTTGTGTGAAGTCAGCTAGCAAGGAGCCACATGCAAAGTTGCGGGGTGAACTTTGGGTGATATAGTCGGCAGTCATTCCACATGAGCAAGCAAGGGACAGGTGGAAAACACCAAGTGCTATTGTCATCCAGAAGAAGTAAGGGAACCATGTCTGTCTGGGCCAATTGGGTGCTATTAGAATGACTATGGCTCTGACTTGTTTTATTTTGAGGATGACCTGATAAAGGGGTGGTAGTGATGAAAAAGCGTAGATGAGTGGTGCATCCCACTTTATCATAAAGGCATCTCCCAAGGACTGGGAGCCAAGGCCCATTCTGGAACAGTAACGTGGGATTTTGGAATTGTTTCTATTTGCAAATTGGTCTATAGTTGGGTACCCCCACCGTTTGAATACTGATACTAGCATGCTGGAGTTCAGTTTCCATTCATGTTTCAAAGTGTCTGCTGAGATTGTCCACCATAATATTGTCTTTGCCTGGAAGACAGGCGACTACGAGATTGATGTTGCACAGAATGCACCAATTCTATAACACTACTGCTTCACAACACAGGGGGTAAACACCAGTGCCGCTCAGAGGATCCAGGGGGCCTGGGGCAAAGCAATTTCAGGGGCCCCTTCCATAAGGGGAGCGTGGGGCCCAAACGGACTTCAGACATTCTCATGGGGGCCCCTGTGGGGCCCGGGGCAAATTGCCCCACTTGTCCTGCCCTAGGCGACCCTGGTAAAAACAAGCCTGTCCTGATGGTTTATGTCAGGGATGAGGAACCACAGGCCTGGGGGCCGGATGCAGCCCCTGGCTTGCCTGGATCCGGCCCCTGAGGCTCAGCCCTCCCCCAGTATTGGGGAGCCTGCGATAGTGCTCCAACCCCCTGCAGGACTGGAGCACACAAAATCAACTAGTCTGGGCCTGCTATGTGAGAAGAATGGGGGGAGTGTCTTTCTCCTTCTCAGTCGAAGGCCACATCACTAAGGACTTTAGGGGTTTGTTTGTTTGTTTTTGGCTTCTCACTTGTGTGCAGTCCCTGACTGATTTTTTTTTCCTGTGGGTCAGTGGCCCCCTAACTGAAAAAGGTTCCTTACCCCGGTTTATGTAATACATTGTTTTGAGATTGAACATAAATATTTGTACTGTTTTATTCTGAATCCAGGATAGAAAACTTTATGAACATGCTTTGTGAACTGCTCTGAGTTTTAGGGTACGTCTAGACTACATGCCTCTGTCGCCAGAGGCATGTAGATTAGGCTACCAGACATAGGAAAATGAAGCGGCGATTTAAATAATCGCCGCTTCATTTAAATTTACATGGCTGCCGCGCTGAGCCGACAAACAGCTGATCAGCTGTTTGTCGGCTCAGAGCGATAGTCTGGACGCGCGGGTGTCGACATCAAAGGTATTTGTCGACCACCCAGGTAT